TCGGCGCTGGATCTGTGAGCCACAGATCTGAGCCGATTTAAGGGAATAGAGAGAGAAGGGGATATGAGCTACGGGAGACCGGCGAGTCGGAAGCCCGATGGATCGCTGACGGCGACCGAGCCGGTAGATTTGGTCGGCGAAGTTTACGGAGGAAATTAGGCTCGGCTGGATTTGAGGTTTAGGTCAGTTGAGTCAGGCTCAGCTAAAATGACTCCAGAGAATGGCTCGGTCTCGTTTTCTTTCGGCTTTCCTCGGTTTTTTTTTTTTATAAAATATTTTCTACATTTGAACAAATTACAAAATAGTCATTCAGAATATGTTTCCTATATAATAAAAGGGAATTTTTCATTGGATGTCCCAATATATATAATGTTGTTATTGTTATGAGTTCTTAAGTCATCTAAGTGAAATTTTAAAAACTGTGACTTTTCAAAAATGTTACTTTCTTAAAATCTTTACAAAATGTCATTTTTTCAAAAAAAAATTTCATTATATCATTTATGTTTGGATTAACTATACTAAATTAGAGTTTAGTTTTGAAGGTTTTAGAAGTATTAGGGGTCAAAACATTTTTTAGGGTTTATAATGTTAAGATTGAGGCTTTAAAAATCCATAATTAGTGACATTTTTGTAAATGAACACCCCTGAATGGTATTTTTACAATTGTCCCTAAATCTAATGCAAATTTTCTTTGGAAAAAAAAACTGTGTGATGAGTTAGTTTTGCTAAATATGAATAAATTATAAGAGAATTTTAACATATATTCGAATGAACCTAATCGAAATTGAACCAATGTATATCGCAACCAGTCCATCAAAGACAAATTATTATTTCTTGATTATACAAAGGTTAGACTAGTTTTTCCAGTATCACTCACAAACGCAACGTTAGCGGATAATAGCAATTGTTGACGTTTGACAACAATTATGGAAAACGTTTTATATTGTTATGTGTTATTCTAAACTTCTCAAAATCAAAAACTGTTTTTTCGAGCGTTTGCAGTAGCGGACGGTTGCAGTTAC